ACCCTAAAACCCCTAAACCCCAAGCCTTCGAAGCGGCGCCCAGGCGACGAGGGCAGAGGTTCGAGCTCGGAGCAGATTTGGACGCCGCGCCTTGGTAAACAAAAGGGGGGGTTTTAGGGTTTAGGATTTAGNNGAGTTTAGGGTTTAGGGTTTTATTGTTTAGGGTTTAGGGTTTAGGGTTGAGGGTTTAGGGTTTAGAGTTTAGTTTTCAGGGGTTAGGGTTGAGGGGTTAGGGTTTGGGGATTTAGGGTTCATGTTTCAGGGTTAAGGGTCAGTTGGGGTTTGGGGGTTGAAGGTTTTATTACGGGTTTGGTTTTTTGGGGTTTTGAAGAAAGGTGATGAGTATAGGGGTGCCTTTAAGAGGATCCATGGCGGTGTCTATAAGGGTTTCAAACATGGGTTCTGTAAGGATTCTAGACCGTAGGGGGATTTTGGTTTTAGACGTCTAAGTGCCTGGAGTCTGGAGTACCATACTTGAATACTTTTTTGGGGCTTGTTCCTTAAAGGAACCATTATGGAATAAATGTCTTTTCTTTTCCTCCTTGGTTACTTCAAAGGGGGGAAGTGTGTATCTGGAGTCTAAGCGGCCGTATGGGCTTCGAGGTCGGATCTGATGGATTGGACACACTTGTTTTGCAGCACCTGTCAGCCGCATGACTTCATGTCCAGACATGCCGTACAGTTGCACTTCAGCTGCTGCACATACGACCGGACCGCAGCGAGCAGACTCGAGACGAGACCTGCTACGGGAACCCCACCGCAACACTCCGTCCGGCCATGAAGCTCCTCTCAGGAGCACTCGCAGCCCTGGCATGGCTTGGCTTCCTCGCCTACACCAGGGGAGCTGCGCCGGGAGTGCAGGGAGTGACACGCTTGGGGGCCGGAAGCGAGACCCCCAGCAGGCCCCGGCAGCCAAGAAACACACGAGCAGCAGAGGCGCTGCAGATGCGGGAGAACCCGGAAGAAACGGACATGCAAGAAGAGGCACCCAGTGAGGTGGAACTTCCACCTACCCGGCTCGGCACCGCAGACGATGCAGAGCAGAGCACCGCCTACGAGCACCACGAGGACCAACACCCCAACACGGGGGACCCAGCTGCAGCCGGCAACTCTGAACCCGCAACACAGCCGCAGCAGCAACCACTCGCATGAAAATCACCAACCCAGAGAGCCTAATACCCCTTAAATAAGGAACATACCTTAAACCATAATATTAAGGAGGCCCCTATAATATAAGGTATATTCCTTATTTAAGGGGTACGTATTGGGCCCTCTGGGCACTCAATCAATAAACCCTAAACCCCAAACCCCAAACCCTCTGAGCACTCAATCAACACCCGAAAGCGTTTTTTTCTGCTTCTTGAGCGACATGCCGAGCCCTGTGTCTTCGGGTCCGAGCGTACGAAGCGTGTTCAGACATTCTACGGTTTAGGCTTTAGGGTTTAGGGTTTAGGCTTTAGGGTTTAGGGTTTAGGGGTTAGGGTTTAGGCTTTATAGGGTTTAGGGTTTAGGGTTTAGGGTTTAGGGTTTAGGGTAGGGTTCAGGGTTCAGGGTTCTGGACTTTGCAAAATGTCACATCCCCTGTTATCCCCTGTTCACAGCGTCGGTTGCCCT